AGAATAACGGAAGAGAATTGGATAAAAAGGGGTGGTGGTGATGATGATGATGATGATGATGATGATAATGGGGGGAAATAATAAGATGAGCAAAAGTGACTGGTGTCCTCTTCTATTATTCTCTCATGACCCATAAAGTCATTATTGAAGCAACTGTCGAATATCTACAATTAATTTTTTTGCGGATCTCCTTCTTTTACCGGGTCACAGTCTCTCAGAACAATCTTACACCAGATGGGGCTGAATCTACAGAGTAGAAGCAACAGCTATGTACTCCATACATCGAATCACGATATCTTGAGTCGTGAGGAAAAGACAGACAATTAGAAAAGGGGGATGCAAGGCACTATCCATACTAAGAATAGGGGAACTTGTGGAGTAAACATGTTAGGTCATGTCAGTCCATGGGGCATCGGCACCATCACCCATGGATTTGAGGCCAATAAAGGAACAGAACTTAATGAGGAAGATGATAGCCTTTTAAGCCTCTGCCAGTCTCTCATACATTTCCAGCTCCCAAGTCATGAGGGATCCAATTTGCGCGTTACGCGACGTTCAAATTATCCTCAATAGTTGAGAGCCCAGCTGCAAAGCATGATGGGACCACAAATAGTAAGGCACGGCATATTTGCTTTTTGTTGTCCCTGACTTGGGGCGAAAAAGATGAGCGATCGATAGTCAGAACGGGTACTCCATAAACTATTGACAGACACAAAATGACGGTGGAATTGATTCAACCAAGATGTGACGGGAGGAATGGATGCTGAGATCTGTCTCCTTTACAGTGGACAAGGATCAACTTGCCTTATTATTGTGGAAACGCGGTTCCGTTCCTGAATCTTGAAAGGAGCCTATGACAGCCTATCTCGAGAGGTACCTATCAGGTACTGTCCGGACCACCTATTGATCCGGGACTCTGCAGGATCAGGAATTACTTTGTTAGGACTAGCTGCAAGGAGAGGATTCCGCGCACCGAGGCTTGGCAGGAGAAAGGGAACTGAATGTGAAACGTACAATCTAGCGAATCGAGCATCACGACACGGACCAAACGCTAGAATCAATCTACTAGTCAGATAGAGGAAGAACGAGATATGATGGCAGATACAGAGTCCAGACCAGTCAGAACGGAATGCGGCTGAAGGAGAGAGGAAAGAGAAGAAATACGAGATAATCCTTCCTGATGCCATAGTTCGCTATTGAAGTAGCCATCGAACATATACTCTCTTTGAAAGTCATCCAATATCTAGGCTAGGGGCATATAGAAATTGGTTTGAAGGCATTAATCGAGTCGAATGTGAAGAGAGCCATCCGACTCATAGTTAACTTACCTCCGAGGTACCTTAAGTAAGCATGTCAATTTGCCATATTAGGAGGAGCTGGTGCCTGAGGCCAATGTGGAGGTGACCGCTATCATCGCAATAAAAATTACCCCTCCAAAAAGTCTCGCAGTAGAGAAATCCCCAGACATTGTGCGGTTCTCTTTGCTCTTCTCTCTGGAGGGACTCGGTGTGTGGTATAGACGATCCCATTTGCCCAATCTGAGAAATACATATCTCGTGAGTACATTCCAATTTGTTTCGAACAATCCCTCGTGCTGCACTAAGTTCCTTATCTTCCCTCCCTGCGGTTGCATTTTGTGACTCACCCAATTGAGGGCGGTGATTGAGCTGGCATCATTTCACGAACAACTCAAACAATTGAGGGCTTTTTTCTCCAGATCGCTTTTCTGATCTAACTGAACAAGAGCAATCAGATTGCAGAATGGCCACAATCTACATCGACGAGGACGTCGGCCGGGACGATTCGACCGCGACCGGTTCTGAATCGGCTCCCTACAAGACTCTTGTCCATGCATACCTCCAACACCCCCCCGCCGAGGGCAATCAATACTTGATGCGCAAGTCTCAGACAGATGCGCCAGGCGAGAACGTCGACCCAGCCGCGAAGTTGGAGTGGAAGCCAGCGACCAAGTCGGCCACGAAGAAGGCTCTCAGCATCGTCGAGCAGCGGAAGAAGAAGGCAGCCAAGGAGCACGAATTGGCCATTCGTGAGAAGCAGGAAGCCGAAAAGCGTCAAAAGGTTCTAGAGGAGGCCAAGAAAGTCGTCATCACAGAAGATACCTCTTTGCCCAAGCCCGTGCGAATTCGCCTGGATGTCACCGACCCAGCTATCGTCAAGCTTGGATCTCCCGAATCACAGACTCCAGGTACTCGTGTCCGTGTGCTCGGACGAGTCCATCGCCTGCGCGCCCAGAAGGATGTGATCTTCCTGACTCTTAGTGACGGTTACGGCTACTTGCAGTGTGTTCTAACTGGGAACTTGACCAAGACCTACGACGCTATGACTCTCACCCTCGAAACCTCCATGGCCATCCATGGCGAGATGCGCGCGGTGCCTCCCAAGCAGCATGCGCCCAACGACCGGGAACTGCATGCGGACTTCTTCACCGTTATTGGCCGCGCTGCTGGTGACAAGGAGGCCATCACCACGCGTGTGGCCAAGGATGCCGACCCGCAAACCCACTACGACAACCGTCACCTCGTCCTCCGTGGGGAGACCGCCTCGGCCGTGATGAAGGTGCGCGCTGCCTGCCTCAAGGCTTTCCGCCAGGTGTTTGAGGAGAGCCGCATGCTGGAAGTGACCCCACCTGCCATGGTGCAGACGCAAGTCGAGGGTGGCAGCACCCTGTTCAAATTCGACTACTATGGCCAGGACGCATACCTCACCCAATCCTCCCAGCTCTACCTTGAAACCTGTCTGCCCTCCCTGGGTGACGTTTTCTGTGTCTGCCCTTCCTTCCGCGCCGAGAAGTCCCTCACCCGTCGCCATCTGTCCGAGTACACCCATATCGAGGCAGAGCTCGACTTTATCACTTTCACTGACCTGCTCGACCACCTCGAACATGTGATCTGCCGGGTCATTGAGTTGACCCTCGCCGACGCGCCCACCGCTGCCCTCATCAAGCAGCTCAACCCCGACTTCAAGCCCCCCAGTCGTCCCTTCCGCCGCATGAAGTACGCCGACGCCATTCAGTGGCTGGTCAAACATGACATCCCCAATGAGGAGGGCAAGCCCCACCAGTTCGGTGACGATATCGCCGAAGCTGCCGAGCGCAAGATGACCGACATCATCAACCAGCCCATCTTCCTGACCCATTTCCCCGCCGAGATCAAGGCCTTCTACATGAAGAAGGATCCCGAGGACCGCCGCGTCACCGAGAGTGTGGACGTCCTCATGCCTGGTGTCGGCGAGATTGTCGGCGGCAGTATGAGAATGGACGACTGGGACGAACTGATGGCTGCCTACAAGCACGAGGGAATGGATCCCGCCCCGTACTACTGGTACACCGATCAGAGAAAGTAAGTTTTTTATCTCCCGCTCTACGTCAGAATCTACGTCTAATCAGCGCTTTAGGTACGGCACATCCCCCCACGGTGGATACGGTCTCGGTCTCGAGCGATTCCTCGCTTGGTTGTGTGCCCGCTACACAGTCAGAGACTGCTCTCTGTATCCTCGTTTCACCGGTCGTTGCACCCCTTGATATTGTACACGACTTCACATAGACGTATCAGACCCTCTTATGAATTTCATTTTGATATCAGTCGCATCTTCTAGACGCGAGATCCATTGTCATTGTCATCGTCCGAACTGAAGTTCTAAGGCGTAGTCACGATAAACCTCTGTTCTCCAAGATGTATTCGCAACCGTCCAGGTTACTCATTGCCGTAGACCCTACCTTTGCACTCCAACCTCTGGCATGGTTAAGTAATAGCACATGCAAAGGAATCCACCCTGCTCCCAGATGATTCACCAGACCATTTAGAACTCCTGGAGGCATCTCCTCTAGCTGGACCGATCAATCGCCATGAGCTACCTGACAAAGCTAACATGAGCCGACCACATCGTTCTCAACAGTTCAGATGGTAACTCAGCTTTAGCAGCTGCACATGGAGGAAACATCACAAAACGATACCATAGGAAAGCGTTTTGAGACTGGACTTTCCAGGCAGTTTTAGCCTTCCCCATCAATTGTCTCTGAACAACACCTGGCACTTCCCTTGCAACGGCGTTACGCAACAGGCATCATGTTACAACAGCAGAATACTCCTTGCCTTCGTTCATTTCATCGGTTGCCATGCTGTAAGGCACCATCTACATGGAGGGATATGATTTCCAGCAGCAGGCTCTCCAAGTCTCAGTGATAGACTTGTCAGGCTGTCGCCTTTCCATCTCATATTGTCATTACGAGCTGCCCGACTCCGTAGCGGAAGTTAAGGATACAGGTGCATATACATCCTCAATTAGACAGTCACAGTCCAGGTGGATTCAGAAAGATCAAGCAGAGCTGAAACCACGCTTATGAAAGTCTCTGCACTCGCGTTTGTGTGATGGTACGGGCGGCGATTTGGAAAGTTATGTGCATTTGTTTTTGCTGGTCATCGATGGTGATTGCTTTCCATGGGCTATGCGAGCAATTCGCCCCATTCGCCTCAATGGCTGCCACGTACATCAGACCCAAGCCTCATATCCCAGCCCAAGAGTACACAGACGAGGGATGGCATTACCAGTCGTGTCTAGCTGCAATGGGGCGCATGGACAGCATTATGGTCTCCAGCGTCAAGGGATCAATGAAACAAATGCCTGGACGTAACTCTCGGGGAACCGCATTCGGCAACCTTTGTCTGATAGAAGCGAAGATTAATAGGTATCGACTTCATGAACAGCCGTTTCGTGCATCGGCTTGTGTACGAGTCAACAAAAGACGAGGAGTTCCAAAGACCAATAGACATCATTTCTCCCAGTTCCAGCGCACACGGAATATTTCGACGGAAATGTTCAGGTTCGAATATCATCACTATGAGGGGTTGTGAACAGTGAAAACAGTAGGTTCGATTTCACGACGAGAGAGAGCGACAACAGTAAAGACAAGCACAAGGAAAACTGCTCTAAGTAGACAAGAGCACTCCACTTGAGTTCAAGCCTCCCGTCACTCAATACTATTAGCCGTTACCCCTGTTCCCCTCTTGACCGGGACGGTTGTTGTTCGACATTTCGGATAGCGTTCTGAGGATTTCTTCCTGGGAGGCCCCAGAGCGGATGACAGATATCATGCGAGAAACGGTTGCTTGGTCGCCATGACGAACCAACCCCAGAAGCTGCTCAAGGAAGTTTGTATAATATTCCTTGTCCTCGATGCGTCCGTCCTGGGACTGAGATTGTGCGATGGCGGCTTCGAGCTCAAGCTGCTGGCTACGGGAAGCACTGGCATCTTGTCTAACATCAGTCAACTGTTAGCAACCATATAAAGCGTGGCTCAAGTAGGTATGACTTTTATGAATAGGAACGGATATTGGATGATTGAAAGAGTGAGCCTCCCACCTTTGCTCTCCATTTTCTCGTGTTCCCTGGTGTTGATGCTCCATGCCGTTGAGACTTTTTCTTCTCAACAACACTCTTTCATCTGTTGTATGTGTGCCGCGGCGTTTGGTAGGCTCTCAGGGGAAGAGTTCTAGATAGGAAATAGGTTGAATGGCTTTGTGACAACGTTCAGGGACCTACAAGGATTCCCAGGACCTGGATATTTGTCGAGGTGTCAAAGTATTAATGTTTGGGAGAAGCCGATCAGCCCCTCTTCTCTCGTGGACCACTGAGTCAGTCTGTGAGAGGTTAGTTAAATGCTGAATTAAGCGCTGAGTTCAGACTGAATGATTGGTGTTCGCCCACGCAATCGAATCGTTGACAAAGATCAAGAGTGAAGGCTAATCCTCGCTCTCTCCATTGTGGTCTGACAAACTGTAGAAACCCAATAAGGCGTAAATAGCGCCGGTGAGCTTAAAATGACAGGAAGGACAAAGGTATATCTTAGCCAGTATCCGCGGTGAGGGCAAGCAGCCAAAAGTTACCCCTGCGGAAAGGTCTGGAACAATACCAGAGCTTTTGGAGGCTGGGGGTTCCTTGACGGCGCCGTGAGCCAAAAGTACGCTATTGCGCGAGTGTATGATATCGAATAGTGGATATGCGCCCCTTCTCCCTCCATGATCGGAAGAGTCGAGAAAGGAACAAGAACACTTTGCTCCGCGCAAGTCCGCATTTCACAATCCGATCTCTCCCCGATTATGCCACCTGAAGCCGTGAAGTGATTATCTCGCGTAGATCTAGATGCAATTGAAGCTTTCACCGGATCCTGTCACCAGAAATACCTTGCTGCGAGTATCTACTTCCTCTTCAATTAGCCCGGCTCGGAAATCCCTACCAGCCAATCTTAGGGTGCGGTCAGTCTCCGCTACCCATCAATCTAGGCCAGCCAGCAAGACAGCAGTCACAAATTGGACTGCTTGCTCTCCTTCATAATCTGCTTCGTCTTCAGTTATTTCAGAGATGTAAGTCAGTCTCCAACTGTGCACAATCATCACCTGCTGCCATCAGGGCTAGGCTGGGAGAGCTTAAGCGACCCAGACACCAGAGCTGATTGCCGCTAACAAAGGAGATGACAGGGAGATGCATTTTTGTGCGAACCTTGCCCCCTACAAGTCTCGCGAGAATGTTTAGAGCCCAGGTCAAGTGACATCCTCCGAAACAACTGCCAGAAATACCCCTGTTTACTCGAAGCCGCGTCGATCTCGCTTTCTGATCGCCCCGTCGCTCAAGTTCATATCCCGAGACAGTCTGTTGCTAGGCTCTTGGATTCCACAAAGATACCGCTCAGCATCAGCATTCAGGCTCTCGCAAGCTGACAGGCCGCAATATACCTTGCTGCGGTGAAATGCTGCGAGCTCAGGCCACAGCATTGCGTGTCTCTGGATTGTTTATACTCCAAGCATGGATGGCGCAGAGTAGGGGAAGGCCGCGATAGCAGTCTAAACGCGTTCCTTGCCCTCTTTTACTTCTCACTGGATGAAGGTTACCTTAGTGATCGCCATCACAACGCGGGCCACGTCTCAGTTGGGATAAGATTCCGTGTCTGTCGTGAGCCATGGTCAAGAGGAGACATATTCATTGAATGACATATCAGATCAATTATATAACCGGACGTGTCCGGTGGATGTTGCTTCAGGGGAGCATTTGACCGCGTAAGATATACAAAATGGGCGGACGGTGGTATTCGGAACTGCCATTCGAGACCAGCTCAAGCATACAGCCATGTCATTTTCAACTCTGCAGTTTCCGCTATTTCTCCTCAATCCATGCGGAAAGCCTCAGGTGCGTGCCACATCTTTCGTTCTGGGTCGATCGATACGAGAACTGTCTCTCGAACGCTTCACGGTCTTTCATGGTATCAAAGATTATCAAATCAGCCAGCAGGGACAAGATAAATGAGAATCAAGGAATAGGCTGTTCATGGGCGACCATATTTTCCATGTCTCAGAAGCATAGCTTTGCATGCTAGCGGTGTAGTCACCTCAGGGGCGGACTGGGTGCATCGATGGTAATCTTCATGCACAATGCAGGATTGAATACAACGCAACTCCGAGGCCAAGCTTCGAAATTCGACAGCGAAATGCGTTTTGCAAAGCCATGAAAAAAAAGAAAAAAAAAAAGGCGTAGTCCAGATGGTGCCGCTACGAGAATGTCAAGTGTCGACTACTGTGTGTTGATCCTTTCTGCCTTCCGCTTCCGCAAATGGGTATGACCACATCGATAGTAGAATTCACAGTCGAGGAGCGAGATCGGTCGCTTGGTTGCGGAGTGCATGTTGTCTTGAATGGTCAAAGTATGCTTCGATGGCTTGAGGTTGACTCTGCATGTCTTGTCCACAAAACGTATCATGAGGTGTCGCATGATATCGTACAACTCGAGATTGGACTGACGTTTGAGGACTTGTGGCTACTGACCATATTGGTGGCTGCAGTTGACTGACTCATCGACTGCTAGCTCCCGGTTTGGACAATACTTCGTTTCGTGTCTGCTATCATGGACCCGGGATAGGCCTTTAGGGAGGGGATTATAAAATCCATCCTGGCATCAGATCGGTTCTCGTCTCACGTTAGTTCATTCAGGTCGATTTTCTCGCTTCTGAATTTCCGGGACAGATTCACGACGGCTTCGGAAGGTGATTTAGGACAGCTCTATTGTTCTCTATGATCAATACGGCTCATTTGGGGACAGAATGAAGCGGGGAATCAGTAGTTCCCATCCGAGAAATATATGCGGGCCAGTTCCCGTGGTTTCCGATGGGTATCAGAAGCCTGCTTGAAGCGAAAGAGGAAGAAAAGGGGAGAAAAGTCCAGGACAAGAGTTCATGCTCTGGCGCCAATTGGCGCCAGCCGGACCCTCATAGGCGATGGAAAATAGATCCTGAAGCCATGCTCCGGCTCCACTTGACACCTGGGCGCCAGAGTGAACCAAAAAAGTCAACCAACAGGCAGTCTTTATGATGCAACAGTTTCTGGCTAGGACTATTGTTCCAGGAGGGCAGGAATGATGCAGTCGTTGGGAATTTGCAGCGAAGTTCGTCGCAGATAGGAGGTGCGGCTTGTGCGAAGCCATTGCTGTAAGCTAATTAGCGGATCGAACTCTTGCGCAGAGACTTGGGCAAGGCAATACGGCAATAATGGCGCTGCACTCGATATTTTGCGCGAGTCAGACCCATGGTAAGTACGGCTTGGGAAAAAACAATAGCTCGGGTGTTCTAGGCCGCCTGGTTCTTGACGTACTTACCTCGTAGATCTGCCACTGCCTACCTTACGAGTACGGTATGTGCTGCTTCGTGGCTTCTTTCCTTGATGAAACTGGCTCGGCTGAGTATGAGCATACTTAACGGACGAGAAACCCATTACTGAAGGCCTAGAGCCCGTTCTTTGGCCCGTAAAGTGAGCTGCTCGTTCGAGTCTTTGCTTATCCACCAGGCTGAGGATAGCCCCGTTCCAAGAACTCTCATGAGGATTTATTTGAATTTCCGCAACTGGATAAGTCTAGGGGTAGAGCTACGGGCCGGTTCCTTGGGTATTCCTAAATCCAAGTGGGTTGTGACTGTGAGGACCTTTGATCCAATTGCTTGTCCGGATCCCTTTTCCGGAAGCCCCAATTCGTCACGGGCAATATTGCGAATCATCACGGGCACTGGTTGACTACCATGTCTACGCGACATCTCGACTAAGCACCATATGTTACTGAATCAGAGCTTTCGTTCACCAGCACGAGATAATTGTCACTTGAATTGTTAAGGGGTCAATATCAACCATGGGTTATGCCACTCCTATGAAATATGCGAGCCTGCATACGCAAGGTGGCGGTCCGATATAGATATATATTTCATCTACTGCGTCTATGAAAATACCAAGTTGTTTATCTTGCTAACATGAGCATATCGATAATTTGACGAAATCCAAAGTATGGCACATGCCACATGGTTGGAGATCATGTATGTTTTGCCAATCGTTTTCAGTCAAAGACAATAAAGAAGTATGGACCACCTTGATACTTCGAACTGCTTGTCTCTACTGTAGTCTCTCCTCAGATCGTACCTTGCTGACCTTACTGAAGGGAATCGCCTTCGTTTGAACGCGCTCAAGTTCTCCTTGATTCCCTAGCAACGTCGCATTCCATCGAAAGCAACTCCGCCCTTCCCCTTCATGAACATGTTACATACCCGCTCATCGACAAGCAAAACAAAACACAAGACATCCAAGCATTCCTAACCCTCGCCATAGGAAACCACAGCCAATGATATCCCCAGACAATGAACCAGAATAACCGTATCAAGATGCTCAGCAATTCCTCATCTCAACAAATCCCTTGCATCCTTTCTGACGCATGCTGGTATAAGTAGAGAGGTAGTCGCGCGCACACCCATCCGCCTGCTTAACGATATACCATCCTCCTGAATACTGGATTACTGTCCTAGACACCCGTCAAAGCATCTCATCCAAACCAAACCATCACCACAATGCAATTCCACCTTTCCACAATCTGCCTCGCGGCCGCGACCCTCTTCGCCTCGCACATCCTCGCAGCCCCCGCTCCCGCGCCGGTTCCAAACCCAAACACTAACGGACGCCCAGCCATCTACAGTGGACCCAGTGGTCACGACGCAGGCAATGCGGTCTGCTTCAAGGGCTACTTCTACGGCGCTGTAGGGTGTCCTGGCCGAGCGGTGAGTGAATTTCTATCTCATCTCCCTCTCCCTCTTCCTTTTCACTCCAAGTGTCGACGTTCTAACAATATATCTAGTACAAGGATGGGACATGCTGCATCTCAGAGGAGATCGCAGTCAAAGTACCAGAACCCAAAGCGCCCGGATACACGGGCGACAGCGACGCTGAATGATGTCGAGATTGTTGTTCTTCGTGATTGTTGATATTGGATTCTTTTCTTTTCTTTTCTTCTCTTTTCGTTTTCCCTGGACATAGCGTCATTCTGAACTTTGTTGACTTATTTGATTTGTGGGGCCTAAGGCCATGATATACGGTGCCGGTGCCCTTCGAGCGGCTTGCCCTTTATTTCAGTATAGTTAGATAATATCCTGCTTATAAGTGGACACACTGCTTGGAGCTTCACATACTATAGGATTGCCGAGTATGACTTTAGCCGGCCACCTAGATCAATCATGTACCTGTGTAGCATTGCGACTGATACTCAGGCTGCTAAGTCAGGTCTCATGGAGGTGCTGGTTCTGTAATAGACAGTACTACGTAGTACCTGACATGGGCGTCTGCACCTGACACCTTAGGCATCAAGATGCACTGCACATATTTTACTTCTCTGCGTGCCAGAGCTGAATGGGTCAAACCAGATGAACAGAGATTCCTTGAAACCTAGGCAGTTGGCTATATATAGTTGAAACAATGACAGTCATGAATAGGCAGCTTCTACCTATATTGCTTTTCGGTTGACGGGGATATATACGTATTGCAGCGGACCGCAAATGCCATTGTTTACATTCCACGCTTGAGGTACACCGCAGCTTAACTTATGCACAGTTGTAGGGACATCTGAATCATTCAAGGAGCGTATTATTGCTTATTCTATCTAACCTGTTCATGCCCATGCGTTTAAGCCCTGAGTATTAAAATCTATCCAGTTTTCGCTGATCAATCAAAGAACGAAAGCGCCAAAATAACCAAGTCGCAATGTCTGTTTGCCACCACACTGTATCGCTCCCAGCTTTGGATCTACATTTTCTTTTGTCGTCCAAGTGCTCGTAGGCAATGGTAGACGCACCACAACAGAATGAAAGGAATGCGGCCCCTTGGACAGCACTGAAAGCACGAGCTGCACCTTTCCAGTCAAACTTTTAGAGACCACTCACGATGTCTCCTGCTTCAACATGATAGGCAAATCAAGAGCACTCGGAGCCTTGGCCACAGTTTCGGTAGGAGTCTTCCCTGCCAAACTCTCATTCCAAAGGGAGCTGCTGGCAGGAAAGATCGAACCGCTGTCGGACATGTCCACAGCGTTGGCATGCACAGAAGGGGTGTCAACATGAGGTACCACAAGTTCCACACTCTTCGTGACGCCGGCACCATTGGAAAAGTAGGGATTGTGACGAGGAGGCAACGGACGATGAGACGAGTCGGGCATGTAACCGATGTAGTCTGAGGCCGTGCTGCTGAAGGACGATGCCGTGGTAGATGGAGTATGGGTCAAAGACGGAACAGGAGCCGTTGCGCTCATGAGCGTGGATAAACTGGCCGAGCTGCGGTGACCGGCACCGTGGTGACGCCTCGGGAACGACGGTTCGCTGCCGTGGAATTGGGAAAGATAATGCCAGGCCTCCGTCGACGCCAGCGACCCCGTACTGCCATGAGCCGCAGGTATTACCGGCTTCCATTCGGAGGGGTCCTGATCTACCTTGGAGTTATGGAAGTCTGTGGGTATCCCGGCGGCCAGGGTGGATTTGGCGGGGAGCTTGGTGGGTGTCATCGGGGCAACAAGCATTCGAAAAGAAATCAGAGGAGAGGTGGGCGGGGACCTCGAGTAGGGTATCGAGCTACTGGATGGGAAGGACGCGGAGAGCGGCTTGTGTGAGTCTTTACGACGGCAGCTGCAGATAAATAGTGTGAGCAGATGGCCATTAAGCAGAGGAGACTGAGGGCTTATAAGGCCAAAATGGGTGCCAAGACAAAGAGAGAGATAAGAGATAAGAGAAAAGGAGTATGAATACCTTTCACTGCAATAGAGAAGAGAATTATCCGGCACCGTGATCTGTCTCTCACACATGGCACTGCCAAATTGATTAGCTTTGATGTTCAAGGTATGCAAGGATGGGACAGCAATGATAAGGTCGGAATGGGCCAATTGGGAGAGATCCAAGCGCAGACGGGATTCCCTCATCCCTCATATCTCAAGAGAAGATAACGAACGGTCAACAACATACCAAAAATTCAAAAAGCTGGCCGCCATGTCGGGCTGATGGTCGCTCTCGGGCTCCGGACGCCTGACCTGCCCAGAGCCTAGCTTCGAGATGGAATGATTCACAGAATATGTGCCTTTCCGATGTAGCGCCGGTCGCGAGGTTCTCACTTTCGAGCCATTAGAGGAGGGAGTGCGTCGATGATGAAGATGGGAGTTCGATTGAGTCATGGATGGCGGTGAGGATGTATATACTCGTTCCAATTCTATTTAGATAGAGATAGTCTGCCAATGGTACCTTGCGCCGAGTGGACGCCTCTTCCCAATGGACTAGAGGACTGGAGCAGGTGTGGAGCACGAGCTTATCCCCTCAGGGAGGGACTAAGTATGAGGGATTTGCGACGAGGATACGCAATTGGATCGATCAATTGTCTCAGACTGTCGTACTTGGTTGTGTTTATTGCTGCAGCCTTGCGGAGAGTTTTGTAATGTCCTTTCCCCTTTCCTTTGCGCGTTTTTTGTCCCTGTTTTCAGGCAGATGATGTCTGTCAGAGGAATGTTGAGGGAATTACAGGCCTTCGCCCGATAAACAGCTAGTTATGTGTAGCGTGATTATCCACGAAATTCCCGGGCCGGTTGAGATAACAACAGCGATAAGCTTTAGCTTGGGACTGCAACGCGTGACTGCAGTGATACATAAATGGTTAGATAGGTCACAGTTCAGTAGCACCAAGCGGCAGTGGGCAGGGCAGGTTGGCCGTTATCACAAGCTTCTGAATGGGGGAAGATAAGGGGAGAATGATGTACAGGATGCAGATATGGCTGTCACAAAGGGCAACAGGATACAAGCATACATACCAGCGAAGATGTTAATGATCTTCTTTTGATGCAATCCTTGTTTCCTTCTTGATCCTCGACCTTGAGGCCTGGGTTTGGTCGACAAAGCACGTGCAATTGAATAAGATCTGCTTTATAGTGGGTGGATAATTGGATATCGGGCAGCTGACGATATGGAGAAAAAGAAAATCGCTCGGAGATCAACAACCGGGAATGAGACAGGGATGCTGTAAGCCACGGCAAAAAGCAAGGGTCGATGATAACTATGGACGAGCGGATGGATGTGCTTTGATAAGAATAAAGATGAAACTAAGTCGAGTCGATCGGAAGTCAAGATGGATGAAACGACAGTGATTATGTATGCTGATGGATTGGAGTACCCTGTAGATAGCCCGTCCGTAGACCCAGAAAAGGTGGTATCTGAGCACGAAGGAGGAGGTATAATTGGAAGCCGGTCTCAGAGCCGAGGGAAATTCTAGAACTTCTGTTCAGCAGTCCGGCTACATGGAGAAAGCATGATGCACGCAACTTGTTAGCCTGTTGGTCCTTTCCAGAGCAGATTCCACACAACACGTCTTCAATATTTACCCCACTATCCAATAATAATAACAATTGATGATGAGATCGATGGCTGATGTCTTGTCTTTTGTCAACAGACGAAAGGCGAGTCACGCCATCATCATCAGCATTATTATTATTATGATGGAGACAAAGGTCTAGAACAGATTCTGATGCCTGAGGTATCAATTGTAACGCGCAATCCATGAGTGCATTATGAACATTTTTAGGCAACAGGGTCGTAACGAAATAATAATAATAATAATAATAGAAAACAACAATAATAATAATAATATGGCTTACCTCACCACTGAAGATGATGATCTAACCGTCTCCGTCGGATGCGGATTGAGGTAGGGTTGGCGGACAGATATGATGTGCAAATGCTGCAAGATCCGCAGTATCTCGTTTTTTGGTTCTAAGTTGCTAATTTTAGGGGGTTCGAACCGTAGTCGATTGTAAGACTCAGTTCAGCGAGAGATCCTCAATGCTCTTATATTCATCAGACATCCGGATACCCCGCGGCACGGAGCAAGTATCTTCTCTCACTGATGGAGGCGTCAAGATAAGCTGAAAACGGTTGATCATTCTTCATTCTATTCCCACCTAGATAATCTAGTCTAGGTCACCAGATAAAGCTGTGACCCTTTGAAATTATCCATTCCTTTTTCGTCCTTCCGATCGTCTGGCAATTTTCTGTTAACCGACAGAGCCACGATTATCGAGACTGGGAATCAAGATAACAATCCAATCCAATCATGCCCCTCACCTTGATGACATGGGAGTCAATGAGACTGCCAGGTCAACGCCAGATCAGCCCAGTCCTGGCATACTCACTGGCACAAACAATCTGGCAGTGTTTGGGCGTCCATAATCGGCGACAGTTGACTACAAAGGGCGAACTCCCGCTCCCCACCTAGAGCGGTCGAGGGGTCTAGACAACTCCGTCCGGATGAGGTTGTGTCCATAGATTGAGAGCACGTTGTAGCTGGTAGAAAAAATTAGATTGTTTTACGTACGTGCATAAAGATGGGCAATATCCTGATTTCTTTTCTGGCAGACCATTTTGATGGATCGGCGATTGTGACATCCAATCATTCATGCCATATGGCATCAATCAATGGAAGTGTGGCCGATGTCTTAGCTGATGATCGCAGCCTCAATATCCGGGAGACACCCTGTATGTCTCGAAATCATGAGTGATCTTGACGGAATTACCAGACGCTCTGGGGAGCGGTCTGAGGCAAATTTCTGTGCTACTGGTCGCTTGAGAGGAATACAGAGAGATCACTAGGGGTACGGAGTTGCTCAAACTACGCACTAAATGGATAACGGAATAGGCTTAGGTATGGGCGAGATTGACAATAGTCTCTGATAACAGCAGCAACTCGTATGTAGGAGCAGAGGCCTGAAAAAAATGGGGCGCACTGACAACATGATACCAATCGTGGAAATAGACAAAGAGTACCTCCGAAGGTACATCGGTTATTTCGTCATCCTTTACCCCATAGTCGTCACATTTTACAATAACTCAGTTCGCCATGATTCTATGACGCGTCTTACTGGATACCCATAACAAC